TGTAATTCATTCAGTCTTTGTTCTTTCACTGTTATATTACTTTGTTAATTCATTAATTTCAACAATTTTTGAATTAACAAGAACAATAATATTACTGAAGTTATATATTCTGACCATATACCATCAAGTATGAACTTATCTATCCAAAAACATACTATCAAAATGGGTATATAACTTCCATTTTTCTTATAATATATTATCGAACTTATATACCCAAAGTATTCACTTACTGAAACCGTATTTCTTTGCATCTATCTCACTAAAATCTGATGCATCTTTTTTTGATATCTTGTACTTGGTACGAAAAAAAATTAATTTAAACTTTTTCAAACTAAATTGCAATGATATAATCGAACAAAGATTGATACACACCAATAAAAAAATGAAAACACACAGCGCACAAGTGATCTGGTACGGGAGCGGGAAAAGCGATGACTATTCAAGTGATTCTGATAAATATAGTGATAATATATCTGAATGTGAATCAGAAAATTGCAGCGACTATGGCTCTGACTATGAGTCAGATATCGAAACAAGTACTATCAAGTCTCCAGTATTCCACCCTCCAAAGTAGAAGAACAATTGTCTAATTCGACAATTTCCACAGACAAAATAAACCCTATATATTCTAGAAGGCAAGAAAAATTTGATAATAAATTTACCCAGATGGATCTATTAAATAGAATTTGCGAAATTGCTTCCTCACCTGCTAGAGATATGTCAAACAATAAAGGTTCGTTGGAGAATATACATTTATGAGACTATCTCTTACCTAATAAAGGAACGAAAGAAGGAATCAGTCTACTCGATGCGTATACACGAGAAGAATTAACCAATAAATTAGTTATTCAGATGGAGCAAGATGAATATAGAAAGTTTTCAGTTGTAGATGATATCTCAGAAGTGTATGATTTATCTGAAATACATAAAAGCATTAGCGGGGAACTATCACTAAGAGCTGTAATTGATATCGATGCATCGTGAGAATATATGGAATCTGAAAAAGTCAATGCAAGGGGTGTATTTACTCGTATTTGTTGTTCGTACATAAGAGCATTATATATGATTCTTGATTGTAGCTGGGAAAAGATTTTTGAAGAATTAATAATTGTCACATTTTCTGATTCCAGCAAATGCAGTTACCATCTCCTGTACGCACCAGCTCTCCTTATTAATTATCAGGAACTCAAGCAATTTACGGAACTGGTATATAAACTAACGGAAGAAAAATATAGTAAGTTTATTGATAGGAGGTTACCTGGTCAAAACTTCTGCCTCTGCTTAATTGGTTCTGCAAAAAAAGATCGCATAAAGTGCATACTTTAATTCTCACTAGATAATGGATGGAATGATCTCAATGACACCAGAGTTCAACCACCTACTAGTTCGAAACATGGAATAAGATCCCGTATATTTAGTATAGAAAAAATAAATAATCAGGAAAAAATAATCGTGGGTCAAGATGCGTTAAAAAAATACGCAAATTTAGTTTTGCAAAAGTATTCTGATTATCTTGGTGGTTGGGATATCAAAGAAAATGATTCCCAATATTTCGTATATTTTAGTCGAAAAGCATATATAGAATGCCCAATATGTAATCGCACACACGACAAGGATCAGTGATGGTTCAGTCACGCACGTTATGATGGTTCATTCATTGTGAAATGCTTTCAGCAAAATCGTAACGAATCAGGAGAAATTTTTAATAACCCATCTATTGCAGAAAAAATTCAGAAAAAAAATAGGAATAATAGGTATCTTGACGGTACCCCACCACCCGTTATACATAAGGTAAAGGGTTCAAAGTTTCTATGGTCATTCTTGAAAATGCCAGCTTGGACTAAATGCGATTCCCCTCTTACCGCAACAGAGGTATATAAGAAGCAGTATGTGAAACCTTTACCCAAGGAGAGGGATATACAGTGGCTTGCAAAAGAAATGAGACACTTTAAAAAAAATAAATAATTTTAAATATATTATAATTGAGCATAATA